AACTTTTTAAAATGACATTTGATTGATGCAGGTTCTGACACTTCCTTTTTTGTACCTGCAAATTCAACATATATTTCCCTTTCCTTGGTCCTTCCTCCTGTATAGCACCCAACCTTAGCCCTCAGTCTCTTCTGGGAAAAGCTCCTGCACTTCCCCCCACTAGATGCAGCCATCCAAATGCTGGAAAGGATTAAACTCACGCTGGTGGGCATGGCTCAGTGTTACACAGCCGCTGCCTCTCTGGTAGCTTGGTTTCGGGATTGCAGAAATGATTAAACACCGTGGAACTGTCGGCTTGATTCCTGCATACAACGGGTTGAACTTGACTGCCTGTGGGATATTTGGGAAGGCTGAGTAAGGATGCAAAATCTCCAACATTAGAAGAAGGTAGGTTTTTCTTTCTGCCAATATCTAGAACATCTCCCAATCAAACAGTGTGCATTTGAAGACCAGAAAGCCCCACTCCCAACTCCAGAACGTTATTTTTTAAAGGTCTGCAGACAGTGAGTACTGTGCCAGTAAAGGGGGCACAAATACATTCAGTTGGGTAGATTTAAAGTTTCTGAGAAACTAATATTTTTAATTCAAATTTCTAGACATTATAAATACAAAAATGTGACTGAAGATATGCAGAAACATGTGCTGAGATTTCAGGGGGAAAAACAGGGACAGATAGTATTTTTGCTTTTATGCGAGGGAATGTTTTACAGTATGGTAAAACAACCCAGCTTAGTCTCACTCTGCACAATAAACAGAGTAGCACTTTCAAAGGATCTATAAGAGATAGATATGATGTCCTAGGGCCAGAGCATAGGTCTGTGGTCCTGTCATCTGAGAGAGCCCTCAAATTATCATCCAAGCAGACCACCCTATAAATGTAATGTCAGTCAGCTAGTTATTGTGGATGCATGTATGTGTGAAGTGGTTGGAATTTACCAACAGTTGAATCTACCCAAATTATGAGGAGCAATGTTAAGTACCTTCTTGCTCCAAGTCAGTGTTGAGTTCAAGCTGATGTTAATCAACACAGTCAATTCACTTCTTGTGTCATTGCCTCCTCATAAATAAGCAACACACAGTGTCAGAAGGAAAGCTGAATACTTGTGCAGCACTGATGGCATGCTAGAGACCCAAATTTGGCATCCTCCCCGCTCCTTCTGCCAGCTTGTTAACAGAATATATATTATTGCACAAACCATAGAGTCAGCACAAGGCTAGAAGGCCAACTGTGACATTACTAGCAGCCATTAGAGAATAGCACCTCTTTGGAATAGCTTAATAGTGACAGCCTCAATTTTTTTTTTAATGGAGGCACTGAAGCTGAGGTTTACTGCACTGTGCAATTCCAAAGGCCATACTTTCAAAGATTTCTAATTTACTTGAATTTACTGCTGTGAAGAAGAACACAAATAGAAAATAGCATTCTTCCTGATAATAGAGCTGATGACCTCAATGCATGTACAGTAATACATTTACATTCATAAATTAAGAAAGAAATGTAAAGCCCTACTGCAAAATTTTGAGGCCTATTTTACGCTACAGGAAAAAAAGTAATGTATGAAAGATTTGCCTTCAGATCATACCTCCAAAAGGAGATTGAGACAACAGAAGAAGCTATAACAGATATGAAACCAAAATGTAAGTCTTGTGACTTTGATATGTTTGAATCTTTGATCAAAGATCAAATTGTTTTGGCTATAAGAAACAAGAGAGTGCAAAAATGTTTACTTAAAAAGGTGTGTCCCTAGAAAATGTTACTGATATACATCAAGCAGCAACAGTTGCTCACGTACAACTGAAAATGATGGGACATTCTGTTTAACTCTAAAGAAAATATTCCGGTGGTAAAATCTCTATAACAGTGGAACAGTCTACCTACAGAGGTTGTGGATCTCCATCTCTGGAAGTTTTAATAAGTCTAGAGGAGTATGGAGATGGCTCTGAAGAAGGTAATCAACACCACTAGGCTTTTCAGCTTAGCCTTGAAAAGTAGGAGGAAATAAGGAGGGAGGAAAGAGTGAGGAAGAAATGTACCATTTTCTTGGTACAAGGGGGGGAAAGAGGATCTCTGTGAGGCTTTCAAGATTCTGCTATTATACCTGCAACAATAAATTAGAGGAATTATTTAGTGTACCAAAGAACCAACTGAATGAGTTCATTCCATGGTTATAGTTCACCAGAAAGATGAAAGTCTGATAGTTTGCTTGGAACTCAAAGAATTAAACAAATGAATTCAAAGACAGCATTATGACACCCCAAGAAAAGTGAAACTGACAGATATGAAGATATTTTCCAAGCTAGATGCATCAGCTGGGTTTTGCCACATACCACTGAATTAAGAAAACACATGCCCGTGTATGCTTAATACACCATATGGTTCATACAGATTGCATGCCCTTTAGATTGTGTTCTGCTTCTGCAGTGCTTCATCATATCATGCAATAACTGATGGAAGTACATGGTGCACATGGATGACACACTTGTAAGGGTGACACAGAAAAAAACATGATCACTGATTAAAACTAGTATTGGAAAAGGCTAGGTCCTTAAATATCAAATTGAACAAAAGCAAATCTTGTTTTAACATTAAAAAAATATATTATCTGGAAGATACAGTAACAAAAAATGGCATTAAACCAGACCAGATTAGAGTAAAGTCAATTGTAGATATGCCAGAAAGAGGTTCAGAGGATCATAGGAATGGTAAATTATGTCTTGAAATTCATTCTGAGCCTGGGTGTACACATCACAAAATTGAGGGCATTACTTTGTGAAGATGCCATTTGACACTAGACTTTTGCACAGGACACAGGACATCCAGATGTTACTGTACAAGTTATACAGAGTGTACATTTAATCAATAAGCTGAACAGTGATGAATGTTGTAAGATACCTAATATATGGTCTTATTCTTTTAATTATGATAGATTGATTGCTTGTTTGATTTTGGTTGTTTGTTGTCAAGCAAAAAAAAAAAAAAAGGAACATATGATGGTAGTTGCCATCATTACACTCCCTCAGTGATACAAAAACTGGGAGCTAGTACTTTGTAAAAAAAAATTGCCCTTTTTCCACATGAAAATATAACCAGAAACCACCAACTGTCAGTATTAAGCTTGGTAGTACCTTTCTGCCTTACTTTCTCAGGATAGCCATTATTAAATTCTTACCTCCAGCACAAATGGCAGAACATTTTGTCCATGAGACATACTGCCATAAATATTGGGCCATGGAATTACGAACGATGGGTGCATTGAACTTGTATCGGATCCTCTGCATTTCTTCTCGCACAAGAACCTATAATGATAGACAGACAACAGTATCACAGAACTGGTGATACAAAAGGATCACATACGACCATTTACTGCAGGAGGAAACGAGAGGGCACAGATTTTAATTGCTTCTTCTACCCACTGTACATTTGAGGCCTCAGCTGCTATGCTGTTGTATTGCTCAAGCGATCCCTCTCAAATAGAGATCACCTTCTGGATGTGAAAACATCACAGGTGTCTTTGTAGCCAATCACATTTTGCTACATAATATCAACAGTGGCTTGATATTATCAAATGCAGCAGTGCGGGCAGTTATATGTCCACCTAGATCAGTGCACATTACACAACTGCTTCATGAGCTGCACTGGCTACCAGTTTGCTGCCTGGTTCAGTTCAAGGTGCTGGTGTTGATCTATAAAGCCCTACATGGCCTGGGGCTGGAACATTTGAGGGATTCCCTCTCCCCAGTCACATCTATCTGTCCCATCAGGTCCAAAAGAAAGGGCATGTTGCAGGTCCCATCCATGAAGGAATGTCATCTGACGGGACCCAGGAGAGTCTTTTCTGCTCCGGGACCCAGGAGAGCCCTTTGGAACATCATCCCCCCAAGATCAGGTTGGCCCCGACCTTATTGGACTTCTGGAAGAGCCTGAAAGACCTGGTTTTGCCATCTGGCTTGGGTCTCTGGTGATGTTGGTGGAGAGCCTGCTAAAAGGTTGTATTTCTAAGACTCAACCAGCTGCTTTGAAACAAATTTGGGTCACTTGGGCAATTCTAGTTTGTCAGAAAAGGATCAAGTTAATGAACAGTTTCTCATCTCCTCCTCCCACCACTTGCTTTGGCTCAGCACTACGACCAACCATAACAATAAGTGTGATGTTAGTTGGGCCCAGGGCCTCGAGTGACTCTGGCTCATCCTGGGAGCGCCCATAGTGAAATGTGGTTCCAGCAATGTCAAAGCGCCGGGGAGGGTCAATCGAAAGTTTCCCGTTGACAAAATACTCATCATTTTCTCCTCTCAGAGCTGGAAGGAGAAGCCAAAAGAAAATGTTTCAAATCAAATTAGATGATTGTTCTTCAGAAGTCAGCAACTTTTCAGGGGCATAAATAGCACCCTCTGGGCCCCAAGCAAACCAAACCAGATAGAACACCCCCCACCCCACCCCATTGCAATATTAGTAATCAGTTAAAGAGCTAGAGGCTACATGTGGGGAAGAAGACCTCTTCTGATGCCTAAGGCTTGTGCAGACAAGCCACCTCTAGGGAGGAACAGTAGCAGTGGTGGCTCAGGCCAGTCTCCTGGAGGTGGAGTGGTGCTGGCAGGTGGTATCTGTATTAGGGCTATTAGATTTAGGCTGCAAGAATACAGACCACCACTAATGGCAGCAAAGAATTACAGTTTTCTGAATCTCTTTGCTACCATCTAGTGGTTGCCCTAGGGCAGGGTTCCTCAACCTTTCAACTTTAAGACAGGTGGACTTCAACTCCCAGAATTGAGAGCTGGCTGGGGAATTCTGGGAGTTGAAGTCCACCCAGCTTAAAGTTGCCAAGGTTGAGGAACCCTGCCCTAGGCAATATGCACTGAGGCTGGCTGCTGCATTACTCCATAGCCCCTTCTGCCTGCTGCTCTGCCCACCCCCATAGCGCCATCCTAGGAAAATGCCTAGGTTCCTTAATGGGCACGCATCAGTGAGCCACAACCAGCTTTAGTTTCTGAAGGCCTGGCCAGGACCCTCTGTGCCTATGGACTGAAAGGTGACAACCACCTATAGGTGTCTGCAGGTAACCATGATGTTGCCAAAATGACGAAATGTATGTTATGATGTCATGAAGCAGGCTCTGCCATTTTGGGTTTGCATCACAATGTTGCATTTATCTACATAAGGGGCAGAGTTTGTTTCATGATGTTGCAATGTGTTTTGTAATTTGCCCTTCCCCCTCCCCTTATACCCTGTGGATTACCCCTGCCTTAACTGTATTTATGCCAGTACTCTGGGGCACAGTTAGCCTTTGAATAATGAACAGGGGCCTACATTCTCCTTAAAATGGTTTCACTAAATCAAAGGAATTGGTGGAGCCAGGACAAAAAATACATTTGACTTAATTTAATTCATATCTGATTTTAATTAAAAGGTTTAAATTATGATTAATATGATTTAAAATTGCAATACAGTGTCAACTTTTGGAAGAAGAAAAAAAGGGCCCTACTTTGGGACCTCAGATTGTCTCCTTCTATTTTTTGATATTTCACACTTACTGCGAAGGGCTGACAAATTAAGCTAATGAACAAAATAACCTTCAGAGAGGCAATACTTTCTCGTTAGCACATTCTGAAGTATAGGAAAGGTAGTAGAGACAGAAAAGTAGTGCTGGGGAACATCTACAGGAAGTCACTTCAAGAACATCAGACCTAGAGCTTTTCCCAGATAACACAAACTTCTCACCAAGATAGTTCAGAGAATGATTAAGTTCCCGGATGTCAATGTGGACAGATCCTTTGGGAATCAGTATCACCTCCTCATAGCCTGAAAGACAATTTAAAAAACTGAGTGGGGAATTTACAATATAACCAAGGACTTACTTACCAGAGTTGCACTGAGCGTGCAAATTTTACACAGAGTAATCATACTTTATCTGACATCTTCCAGACACATATGTTGGGACTGTGACTCAGAATTTACAGCAAATGTGGTTTGAGGAACTGAAAGCAGTTCTTTGTATCTTTGTTACAATAACATTGTTTGGGTAACTGTGGAGTTAGAGTAGGGCAGCCTTCTTCAACTTGGTCCCCTCCAATTAGGGTGGAACAGCAGCTTCCAGAATTACCTTTATCTTGGCTTAGAAAATTGCACTTTAAGCACATCTGGAAAGCACCAGGTTGCATAAGTATTCCAGCTGCCCATGATTCACTAAAGCCTTTCCAATGTATCTCATTTTTTAAAACTGGAACCTGGGTCTGGCACTTTATGCACGTAAAACACCAACACAATCACTGAATTATTGACTATACTCACACAATATGCTAGGCTAGGCTAAAAAGAGGTCGGGTAGTTGTGGTTAAATGTACTGTGGGAACCCAGCCACAGTCTTAATACATTGTGTTAACCTGGCCATGATATTAAACTGTAATATGGTTTATTTGCAGGGGTACAATATGTTATGTGAACATAGGAAGTGTTTCGTTAATCCAGATTTAGGATACTGTATAAACTCAGGAATAGGGACAGAAGGGACTGATCAAGTAATCTGTTCTTACCCAATCTCCAAACAACAGTCTTGTAACTGTAGCATGGTTTTTCAGGATGAAAATAGAATCTAAGGTGTATTAATTTAAATGTGTGCATCTACAGCGTATAGTGATTATACACATGAGTAAGCTGAACACTAGTTTAGCCAACCAGTTTTCTCTTTCCCCAGGTTTTCAGATGAATAGACAAAAACATTTTTAAATGCAGAGTTTCTATGTTGTTATTCTTCATTTGGCCATTCCTGCATTATCATTATAATCATCCTTGAAAACATATTTTGAAAGTTGCAAAACATCTCTTGTGACAAAGGGCATGTGATCTTCCAGATACTGGCAAATAGGTGTTGTTTACCAGCAAAACATCCCAATTCAAACTCAGCAGATGCTCATTTTTTAGAAAAACAAATTGTCTCAAAATAGAAGTACATTTGTGTGAAGTGACGCCAGCTCTCTGCTCCTACAGCTGTCTCATCTTTAAACCTACTGAGTCACAAAGTCATCCTCACCTCCATCAGGTAGTGAATGGTTGAAGATCCCTTCAATGGTTTCACAGGTGCTCCCATCTCCTCCACAGACCCGGCATTTGTCCTCCTTGGTATCTGAGCCTAGGATGCGGTCACAGCCCACGTGCTTATGACAAATAAATGGAAAAGGTTGGTGGATCTGTTGCTACCACTTTAATAGCCTTCCCACTAGTGCCTCTAAAAACCTAAGAATGCTCCTGGGTCAGATAAAAAAAACCCCTTATTTCCCACAGGGGCCATTCAGATGCTGCCAGGAAGCTATGCAAAGGAACAGCCCTTCCCATGCTAGGGTGCCTCTTAAAAAGAATGTATTGAATTGTACCAGAAGTCCACCATGTCACCTTCAGAAGCTGACAGGCATGGGATAAAGGCAACTGCTTTTCCTGTTGCTGTTTCTCAACAAATAGTATCAAGAGTCTTACTGGTTTTAATATGACTGATAGCTAATGACAGATCCATCTCTCATCAATTTGTCTCGTCAGCTTTTATAGCCACCTGAACAAATGCCATGAGTATGTCTTGTGCCAGTGAATTGCACTGGTTAATTCTCCACTGTAAGAAAAGGTATGAATGCCACTGATTGTATTCTTGCCCACAAATTAAGTCCCAGAAGTAGCATATTGTGCTGGAGCGACAGGCAGAGAATATGGGCAGGAACGATCAATGGCTTGAGCAACATGTGGTCACCTTGCATTCTCCGCTGACGCAGATGTCATGGGAGTCCTGACGGCAGGGCGTTCCATCGACCACAGCTGCTGCCCTCTCTGTGTAGAAGTTAAAACCTTCTGCCAAACAGTTGAGTGAGCAGGACTTGACACCGCCTGCAAGCAGGGAGGTAATTCACATGTGTGCATCAAAGGCTGGATTGCAGAACAACATCTTTACTGAATGCTGAAGGTCTGCCTAATTATGCAAAAAATGTGCATTTGTGATGGGTTATGGCACAGGTCCCAAGCCTTTTCCTCTGCCACAGCCATTGGAACTGTGATGAGGAAAATGCATTTTTTTGTACCCAGTATCATACACTGCCTTTTGTAGTACAATGCAATTTCTGTACAGTTTTATATCTTGCCAAATTATGTGTCACAAGAAATAAAACTGAGAGATGGCCTGGTGCAGTGGCTAAGGTGCTAGGCTGGAAACTGGGATACTGTGAGTTCTAGTCCTCCTTTAGGCATATTTTCTCAGCCCAGCTAATCTCACAGAGTTGTTGTTATGAGGAAAACAGGAGGCTGGAGTATTTGGTAGATAAACTGCCTTGAGTTGACCAAAATAAAGGTGGGATAAAAACTGATTAAATTCTCCCTGGAGTCCTAGTAGACATTGTAGAAGGAGAGCCACATTAGTCTATGGTGGCCAAAGATCAGGAGTTTGGTAGTACCTTTTCAAACTAACAAATGTTATTAATAAAAAGATGCTACCAGACTCCTGATTCTGAGAGTCCTAGAAATCTCCAAGATATATATCTACGAAAGGGAAGCTATGTATGGTTTTTCTATCTGACTTATTTTGCTCTGACTTTAACACTTGGGCGGGATTCAAGCAATGGAGATAATAGCCTATTTTCAGAAGAAGCCTTACCGCTTCCTAGAATGCTCTGGGCTGGCGTCTTTCCAGTCTGCCTCTAATCAGGATATATGATTCTGCCCTGTTCTGCACTAGTAATATTTAATTGCTGAATCATTCCTGAACCAGAGGAACGATTCACCCTCTCATCAGGCTGCCCATTGTTTTTCTATATGAGTCCTTGTAGTAAAATCCAGAGAGGTGCTCTGATCATTGAGTCATTCAGAAGCCTTGGAAGCCAGCTTCTTGGAAGGGGATCAATTCTAGTTAGTTTTCTAACAGGAAACATCTTTGAGTTGATCAAGGAAATTAATCTATAGAAGAAAAGGACCATTTAGGTGCCAGAAATTATACCATGAGCATTTCCAAACAGTGATTTCCTCCCCCTCGGGCAGCACATTCCCCTATTGATCACATGCTATTGTATGTAAACAAGCCTTGATGCAATGTTTTGGTTCCTTCAGAAAACCCATTTGATTTTTTTCTTCCTTGTTTTAGAAAAGAGTGAAACTTGTGTCATTTGATTCTGTGCTTCTGTGAGTCTGTTTTTCAGCTGGGGTGTTTGCTTGTCATGTCCCCACCTTCCAGCTCCTAGTGAGCATTTCAAGTGACCTTGTTCAGTAACATGCTGTTATGATTTTGCTTATTGGGGAAAAATCCTTGAAAACCAGCATTTTCTGTAAGTGAAACATAGTTTTGCTGCTATGTTTCACTCACAGAAAATGCTGGTTTCATATAGCTTGCTGGAATACTACCTACACATGTTTACTCTGTAGTGCAGATACAATGCCAGGGTGAACATAAGGCTTTTGCTTTATGTGCAGAATTTTCAAAAATTATCTCCTTTCACCATTAAAGCAGCTTATCAGGAGGAATACGTTGCAAATGGCTGGACAGAAGTACAAAAATGCATTGATAGTGAATGAGTGAGTATGACTGTGGAGGAAGGCACTAGAAACGTATTGCTATTCTTTTTGAGAAGAGATTGAGAAGGGATATTTATTTCAGTAATTCAGGGAGAATTAGCAGCTCTAAGGACAGTTAACAATGGGTCAACAGTGTGAAACAAAGAATAAGCACTGTTTGGCTGATACAGCTAGTCCTTGACTTATGACCATTTGTTTAACGACTGTTCAAAGTTACAACAGTACTGAAAAACGTGACTTATGACTGGTCCTCACATTTACAACCATTGCAGCAAAATTCGGGTGTTTGGCAACTGGCATGTATTTATGATGTTTGCAGTGTCCCAGGGTCATGTGGAAGGTCATGCTACCTTCCCAAGGGACTTCCAACAACCAAAGTCAATGGGGGAAGTTGGATTTGCTTAATGACCATGTGATTCGCTTAACGACCGTGGCAAAAAAAAGTCATAAAATTGGGCATGACTCACTTAACAACTGCATTGCTTAGCGACAAAAGTTCCGGTCCCAATTGTGGTTGGAAGTCGAGGACTACCTGTACTCTTTGCACTAAGCTGTTGACTAACTTGGACTAAAGAAGTGAACTTGACTCACAACTATAGAAGCAACACTATGCTAAGCATGTTAAAGATATGCAGGGAGTGAGGGCCATGGAGAGACCGTGAGTTAGCTTTACAATGCATTCCAAATTAATTGGCATATAGGTAGGCTGATAGCATGACAGATTTTTGTGGCTGGGTTCACACAATTAGGCAAAAATGGGACTGGGGAATTTAGACTAAGATAAAATGGGGTTGGGGAATTTGTTGTTCAATGTATTGAGAGAACCCAGCCATTGTTTTAGCAAGTTGTGTGAACTAGGCTATCATGTTAAACCATAACATGGTTTATTTATGGGGCCTAGCAGTTTACACAAACCAAGGTTACAAGGAAGTGGAACTTTTAGAAATTTGAATTGCTGTAGTCACGCAACAAGTTTGTAGGTTTGTTTAACAGTGTTTATAACCTACCCCAAGCTGAAATTTAACATCATACCAAGTAGAAGCGATCAGTAACTGACTACTTATGATAGATGTCCAGATGCAACTAGAGTTCAAAAGCATGCTGACAGAGCACTGCTTTAACTTGCTGACAAAATGCAAGGAAGGTTGGAGCCTCCGCTGAGAATGTCTAACATCTGGTTGAACTCCATGTATCCTGCCAGGAGGGAGACCCTCAACGGGGCCTCTTTAGATTTCTTTACTGGATGGGAGAATTCTATTTTGGCAAGGTATTGCCTGATGTGCTGCACGTATAGGGCTTTTAAAGGTAATGACTAGCTTTTAGAATTGGGTCCAAAAGCCTGTTGGTAAATGCAGCATCTTCAAGAACAGGGTTGCTGTACCCTGAGGGGGTGGCCCTATTAGTAGTCTGACTGTTGCATTTTGTACCAGCTGTAACTTCTGGGTCATCTTTAAAAACAGCCCCAGTTAGCTACCAACCAGTCATAGCTGGTAGATCTAGTAGCCAACAATCAGATTAACCAAGTCAAGGAATAGCACCCTTGCTCACTTCCTCTGATCCTGTTTGCCAACCCTTATGCCAAGACAGTACAAGCCAGCCTGTTCTCATTGGACAGCCAGGCTGCAGTGGATGGGGCTTTAGTGCTGCAGCTAATCAACATTTGAGAGAGATGTTGTTTTGCATTGCTAGCACCTAAAAACAAATTGTGGGATGAAGTGCCATGTTTTTGCAGCTGCTTTATAGTTCTGTGTCATTTCTTTTTGTGATTGATTGGGTGGAGCTGGTCATTATCCCACAGTTGATTAGGTTCCTGGGTTTGCACAAAACAGCTGACTGGGAGAAAGTAGTTTGACTCACAATTGCCCTGATATTATTTTGGATTAAAAGTCCCCCCTGCTGCAACAGGGTAAGCAGGTATGTGCCACTCTCTGGACCCTTAACTGACTTGCTTAAGTGTGTTGTGTGAACCCGGGCTATTTTATCAGCAATTGGAAGGGTTATAATTATAAATAAATAACTTATTTTTAATTTTTAAATATATATATATATGGCTGTATAACTCCTTTAGACTAGGAGAGTCAAAATTTGAAGTCATGCCTATAAATCTGAACAAAGAGAATTGATTAAAGATCATTCTGTCCCCTTACAACTCTTTAAATTCATTTCAGCTCTGGTTCCCTGGAGCTCAGCATTGCTCAGCTCTTTCAGAGGGTTAGCAGCTGAGAAACCTGGAGCTCATTAACAGATGTCTCTGAGGTGGCTTGGCTCAATGGCTGAGTCTGAGCGTTTAGCAAAAACAGATGGCAGAGTGGAAAGGAATCTCAGTTTGAAGGAAGTAAGCCAGGATATGCAGCTTTTTTTTTTTTTGGCCAAGGCTCACAGTTGACCTTTGAGCCATATGCCAGAGTCTACTCTCCAAAAAGGGGTGGGACCAGGTTTAAGGAGCTGAGCATGTTTAGGGGAAAATGACAAAAATGGTGATAAGTTGGGAAACCAAGCCCTACAAAGAATAATTTAAAAAACTAGGAATGTTAGTCTGCAGGACAGTAAATTAAAGGAAAACACAATGCTGTTTTTTCAATTACTGTACCTTAATAGCTGTTAAGGGGAAGAAAATGTGGACTTGCTTTCTGTGATTCCATAGGGCAGGAGTAGAACTAATGGGGAGAAATGGCAGGTCAGCCACTGGGCTAAACCTAAGGAGCACCTTCCTATTAATATTAACTGTTTGACACTGGAACAGACTATCTTGAAAAATGATGGCCTTTTTTTTGCTGCAGGCATTTTAAGCAGAGGCTGTAAATTTGTCTGCCAGGGATGCTGAAGTTGCAAGATTTCTGCACAGAGCAGGGAACTGGATGACCTTCAAAATTCCTTCCAGCTTTAAAATTCTACAAAGTATATCTGGGTGGGCACGCTTTAGACAGCTGGGTGCTGCAAGTTTTTCTTGAACCTTTCCATAGGGGGAATGAAGGCTGCAATAGTGCTAGCTAGAATGCCCTCAGAATTTCTGAGAATGTCAGTGGATACCAGAAGGGTTCAGCCTCCTTCTGTTTGCTTTACTTTTACCTGGGGAATTGTGAATGCCTATTTCCTGCAGTGAATCATGATTTCCTCAGAAGAAACACTCTAGGACAGTGTTTCTCAATCTTGGCAACTTTAAGATATGTGGACTTCAACTCCCAGAATTCCCTAG